CATCGGATTCATCTATACCATAATTATAACAGAAGGTCACAGGACCAGTAGTCTAAGATATTTACTCACTTGTTGAATTCTTGTCACTATCCCCTTCTCCAAAATGCCGGGGTCAGAATGTCAACAAATGAGACACTAAAAAACTTACCACCTATTTGTCTAAATGTGCAACCTAACATCTTTAAGTGGCAATGGATTATGGCAACTCCATCTCTTAGTGAGTGTTCAACACCCTGTTGAAGATCAGCAAGGGAATGTGTGCTATTAGAAATGAGGCCTTGGTCTGTCTCCCTCTGCCTTCTCTAGAAATATTCCTTCAGACCTCCAGGCTGTCAGCACATAAAGGCACAGAAAGTGTGAAGATACAGACACTGGATAACGTTCACTAATGACTTCCCATGTGCTAACAGTGCCCCTTAAAATTGCCCTTTATTGACATAACCTTTATTCCTGGTATGAAGGCCTCCTCGTGACCAGGACTTGCTTTCATCTTCCCTCTCTACCTCTTTCTCTTACTCTTGCTTCCTCCTCGACATTTCTCCCTTCCATATTCTTAATGTCTACTCTTTCTTAGAAGTGCTCCCTCCATTTTGACGTTTGTTTCACAAGCTTCTAGCCCAATATCCATAAAATGTTTTGCTTCCTGAAATCCTCAAAACCTGCTGCTCTTCCCTCTGCTCTGGCACTACTGTTAGAGCATATATTAAAGTGGTGAATTGCTTATACTTACTTATAATGAAGATTTTTTTCATTTTTTAAAAAGTTTATTTATTTTGAGAGAGAGAGAGCTTGCACACATGTGGGAGGGGCAGAGAAAGGGGGAGAGAGAGAATCCAAGCAGGCTCCACACTGTCTGTGCAGAATCCAAGGCGGGGCTTGAACACATGAACCACAAGGTCATTACCTGAGCTGAAACCAATAGTCAGACACTTAACGGATTGAACCACCCAGGCACCCCAGAATATATTTTAATAAGAGAAGGAAAACAATCTTCAACAACTGAATAATGTCAAATATTGACATTTTGAAATGTCAATTTGTATATATACTCATATCACTGTGAATGTCCTTGTTCTCCTGAAGTTTATATTCTAGTAGTTGGAAAACATAGTCTCAGAGTCCAGTCTTACAGAAAAGGTGTTCCTGAGTTCAAAATCTCATTTGGATAAAGTATCTTCTACTTTTTGTTTTGATAGATTAGAGTCATGCCTGGAGAGGCTCTATGTCACTGGAGGTATCTCCTTTGATCTCTTAGAGAAGAACTTGATAATATTTACTAGCTTTTGTAATCTTCTGACTATGAAAACTGGGGTGGAATATTTATCTCATACTCAATGCAAATCATAGAATGCACCAAATGTAATAAGGGACAAACCGTTTCTTTCTTGTGTTTCAAAAAATATGATAGCTCATAGATATCAAGATCTTTATATTTCACACATGTGAAAGATATCCATCTTAAAGAAAGAAAGAAAAGAAAGGTTTGGATAAAGTGTGTGATCTCATTGCTGATCCTAAGTTTTGTGTGATCAGGACAAGTGACCAAGCATATTTCTGAGCAAACAGTGGACAGAGAATATGACTCCTTCATTTGTGACACAGGGTTATGGTGACCAACAATGAACAAGTACATGGAAGCACTTTGAAATCTTTATATTATAGAGCATATACAGTGTGAGTTATTATGACTGCTATGTGCATTATAATTGAAAAACCATTCTTGTATGCTTCAAGTCAACCAGAAATACGAATTCAACTTCGCACAAAAGTACACAGGGGCAAATGAATAGGGTTCAACTAGGCATCATCAGTTTTCTTCAGTAAGGAGCAGGATAGGGATAGCGACAAGCTTTGGTTTTATACTCCCCCTAATGTTGTTGGAGAATGTTGTGCTAAAATAGCAGATATGGAACCACCGTGCTCTCTGCTTATTGGATTCTACTCTTCCACTCTTATTTGATAACATTATGTGCATCATAAATTTTCTAAAGACAATACCAATTAGGGTTTATTTTGGTTAGGAAACAAACACAATTTTTTTTTCTTACTGTTACAAATGTGGTGGCCTACATTCCTTCACTGAATAATTAAAATTTAAAATTAATGTTGTATCACCACTTCACACCCATTAGGATTGCTATTATTAAAAAAAAGAAAGAAAGAAACTGACAAGTTTTGGTGAAGATAAGATTGGAGAAACTGAAAACTTAGTGCGCTGCTAGTGGGATGTCAAATGGTGTAGCTGCTACGGAAAATAGTGTGGTGGTTTCTCAAAAAATTAAAAATAGAATTACTATATTATCCAGCAATTTCATTTCCAGTCATAGACCCAAAAGAATAGAAAGCAAAGGCTCAAACAGATATTTGTACATGCTTGCTCAAAACAGCATTGTTCACAATAGCCATAAAGTAGAAGCAACCCAAGTAAGTGTTCATTGATGGATGAATGGATAAACAACCTGTAGTGTATACATTCAATGGAATACTATTCAACCTTAAAAAGGAAGCAACTTCTGACACATGCTAAAATATAGATGAATCCTGAAGACATTACACCAAGTGGAATGAGACAGTCTCAGAAGGACAAATACTGTATGGTTCTACTCATATGGGGTATCTAGAATAGTCAAATTCATAAGAGACAAAGTGGAATGGGGTTGCCTGTGGCTGAGAGGAGGGGTAAATAGGGGAGTCATTGTTTAACGTACACAGAGTTTTGCTTTGCAAGATGAAAATTTTCTGGAGCTGGCTGGTGTGATGGTTGCACAACAGTGTGAATGCACTTACTGCCACTGAAGTATACACTTAAAAATGGCTAAAGTAGGGGCGCCTGTGTGGCTCGGTTGGTTAAGTGTCCGACTTTGGCTCAGGTCATGATCTCACGGTTCATGAGTTTAAGCCCTGCATGGAGCTCTTCGCTCCCAGCACAGAGCCCGCTTCAAATCCTCTGTGTCTTCTCTCTCTGCCCCTCTGCTGCTCATGATCTCTCTCTCAAAAATAAGTACTTTTTTAAAAAGTGGCTTAAGTAGTAAATTTTGTGCTATGTATATTTTATAACAATTAAAAAATTAATGTTGCATCAACTCAAGGGATTCTAACATAAAGAATAAATTGTGATATGAGTCAAGGTTATGGACAATATTCATCTTATTAATTTGGTATTAAGGAAGAGAGAATGCTAATGGAGACAGGATGATAATCTTTTGAAATCATACAATGGGTAAAGCTAAAAATTATAGTTTTGATATATCTTAAAGAATCTCATGGATTGAGGACAGGACCTGGATTTTTTTATGCATTATTAGATAAAAAGAACAATCTGTATAAATAATCTTTGTTTTATTTCCATGACTCTAATGTGTATGGATCAGATCATTTATCTGGAGAGAAGGAGATATGTTATGGTCATTTCCTGCCTTATTTACTGTACTATACCATACTCTCACAAATATATGTTGGATAATCCCAAGATAGGCGAAATGAGCATGTCCCAGATGAGATGGTCCATAGCACGTACTCATGCTAGCCTATATGCAGAACTTCTTCAGCTGAAGGTTGACTTTTAGAGTGCACCATGGAGATTTCTAAAGTTTGATGGGATCCTCATTCACTCAGACATTACGATTAAAAGCCACAAGTCTCCATGTGAACAGTGGTTCCCCCTTAGTCACTGAAATGGGATCTGAATCTTTGTCCCTACACCCTTATTTTCATCAACTAATTGATAAAGTAGGATCTTAGCTCTGAGTCTGAATACAAGAATAAGGACTGGGGAAGAAATAAGTGGATTGGATTTCAGTTTGATGTGCAAAAGTAACAGACACTCTCCCTACCATCTCTCTTCACTCCTTCTTATCCCATTTGCCTTAAGTTATTGAAAATAATAATGAAAAGATATTAAGGGGGGGCTGGGTGGTTCAGTCAATTAAGCATCCAACATTTGATTTTGGCTCAGGTCAGAATCTCATAGTTTGTGAGATTGAGCCCCGCCTCGGGTTCCACACTTACAGCTCGGAGCCTGCTTGGGATTCTCTCTCTCCCTGTCTCTCTGCCCCTCTCCCATTCTCTCTCTCTCTCTCTCTCTCTCAAAATAAATAAACAAACTTTAAAAAAGATGTTAAGAGATTTCACAAAGGGAGAGAAATTATTACCTGAACTGGACAAATAGATTTCCTTCATCATACAGATTCTCCAGCCTTTTTTGGAAGTGGTGTATTCTCAAATGAAGCCACATCTACTGGCAAGCCAGGAAAGGGATTGTGAATAAATGTGACTGCCAGAAAGTGAGGAATTTTTTGTAGTTTTGTGAACAGTGTTGCTGCCTAAGCTAAAGCAAAGGTGTGGGAATCTACAAAAATACTATTGGACACTTGAAAAGTACCTCGGGGAGCTTGCCATCCTGAATATTTCAGTATTTATCCTGAGATGTCTCTATTAGAATCTACACCTTTATGTTTTCGTTGAGTATTCTGTTGTGTGGAAAGAACAGAATGGGTGAAATATCTACAAATATGGCACTGGAAAGTTTAATTGCACAATTTCTTGAGAAGCTTTAGGTTCTTTTTCTTTCAAATTACATCACAGAGAAAAGTAATTCCCAACCCAGAAACCCCACATAACCATACCAGAGACACTTCACTAGGTCAATGCACTTTATTATTTCTACTGAGCTAGAGATGTACATGAACAACATAGGAGCACACTCCAGATAACCATTTCCTGTCCCTCTTGGAGCCAGCCACCCTTTCCCTTCAGGCATTCACCCTCCAAACACATCCAAAACGTGCTAAATGACGTGACCTGTTTGAAGCCACATCTCAGAGCACCGTCTGTGAACTTAGCCCACATTGTTTGCATGGTGTCAGGAGAAGAAGGGAAGAAGGTGGATGATTAAAATTGATAGGATCAACGTTACCGTTCTCAATTTTGAACTGTAAGGATCCATATGGCGAGCGATGTGTCCTATTCTTGACGTCTTAGAGGATACTTTTTTAGAAGGGTCACTGGAAGTAACCGTGGAGGACATGTTTCTCCTTGATAGTATCATTTATCTCCATAATATCATTTATGTAAGCAGGGATAACTTCTTGAATATCATTTTGCCATCGACAAGTCATAAGGACCTGTCCCTGCCTGTAAGAAGATTCATAGACACAGTCTGTCATTACCACTCCTTTGATTAAATTACAGTACACTCCTTTTATTGATTGCCTGCTCCTGTGACATCTCTTCACACCATTCTTACAAGACACAAACAGGTTGTTACAGATGTCTTGCAGTTCCTCAAATGATATCTGGAGGAAGAAATGTTCTTTTACACAACGGAATCTGTTGTGGACATTTTTCATCTTTATTTCATCAGTGCAGTAGTTGGAATCAGTTAAGGGTCTTCCCGGATCAATAATGGTGCGCCTTTTGAAAACATCCTTAGGGGTTGGTAGGGTAGGTCCTGTGCTGCGCATTTCCTCCAAATAATCTTCAAATTGCTCTATCTCTTCTGCTGACAACGGAACATATTTGTGCAAGATTTTCAACTGCAGTGGCTACAGTAGCAAGAGCAGCAGGAGCAGCAGAGTGAGGGGCCTCAGGGTGATCAGAGTCCACATGCTTTCCAGGGGGGACTACGAGAGATAAGGGGATGTGAGCCATTTCCATACTGTGCCCGCTTCTATTCCTGTGCTGGGCAACATTCCTTTCTGCCAATTACCGCCGTTCTGAGCTCGAAGACTTTGGGCAGTATTCAAATTGACAATTCAGAATATATTTAACCATTTCTGAAGTATGGACTAAAAAGTAACCTTCCTAGGCCTGTACTCAGTCGGGAAGACTGTTGATATGAGAGGAAAAGGTGAAGGAAGGAGGGAGAGAAAAGGAGAGAGAGCAGTGAGCAAACAAGGAAGGATGAGGAAGAGAGAAAAGGAGAGATGGAGGGCAGGAGGGAAGGAGAGAGGAGGTCAAGACAGCAGTGGGGAGAGGGGAGAGAGAGAGACAGACAGACAGACAGATAGACAGACAGGCAGAGAAGAGGCTCCCACCATCCGGAACAAATGCATCTGTTCTCTTCTTAGGAGTTGTGAACTCACACCGTAGAGAGCTATAAGTGATCCTCCCTCCCCTCTGCCTGCTGCTATGAGGAAAATTCTTCATCTTATGACTTCTCCTCTTGCTCATCTCAGACCATAGACGCCCTGGGAGAAGGGATCAAGCAAGGTACATGGGGTCGGGTGAACACCATCTGCTTTTCTTTGTGAATATGCTTTCAGCACGACCTCCTTGCCTGGAGCTGCTCGGTCCATTTTGTAGCCTCCTCTGCCTCCTGTTACCACTCAGAATGGCTCTGCCACCAAGGGGCATCGCTTACCTTGTGGGGGTGTTTTTTTATCCTATTTTTTTCTTCTCTTAGGTAGACTTCATGGTTTCTGCTGTGATCAGGTTTCGCATCCCTAAACTCTCTCCACCCTGTGAGCCTGTCTGCAGAGTTACGGTAACCTCATCAGGAGCTATTTCAGTCCTTACTTTCCTCGATGTCAGTGCATCCGCCTGTCTATTCACCCCACAGCAGGCTGCACCAAAATCCCCCAGTACTTTATTTATTTATTTATTTATTTATTTATTTTAAGTTTATTTATTTTTGAGAGAGAGAGTGTGAGCAGGGGAGGGGCAGAGAGAAAGGGAGAGTGAGAGAATCCCAAGCAGGCTCCTCACTGTCAGTGCAGAGCCTGATGCAGGGCTAGAATTCACAAACCCTGAGATCAAGACTGGAGCTGAAATCACGACTTGGATGCTTAACCAACTGAGGCATCCAGGCACCCCAATACCCCCCAGTACTTTAAATACACATGAGCAAGTGTCTCTGCAACACAAATGTGTAAAACTGAGATGAATTACATTATTTAAAAAATTGTCCTATCTTAAAAAGAAATGAAAATGTTTAATTTGGTACATACTAATGAAGCACATTATTACTAAGCTTTGTGGTCGTTATGTTAAATAATTATTTTAAAACTTTCCTTGCAAGAGCCTGAACAGTAGTAACATGTGTTACAGGAATTGTGCCCAACAGCTAGATACCAGGGGACAGACTACCCTTTAGTACAAAGTGTCATCTCTCACAGAGAACTCCTGGGCCTATCTATCATTTTCCATTTCTACTCCAAATCTGGCTGTTAATCAATTCTCCAAGGAGACTTCCCAGACAAAGGCAAGTGCTTTAGGTACACTGGAGAACAGGCTTCCAGGCCTACCTGTGCCTGGAGTCTCTTGACCTTGTTCAGTCCTTGTGGTGTCTATGCTTCAGAGAATGGATGCCTCAGGGCTGGGCTGTAGAGATCCTGATATTGGGGGAATTGGCCTCCCCTTAGAGCACAGGAGCTTGGAATAGAAAGGGAGAAAAACAACTGTGAGCAGCTGAAATAAATACATAAGTAATATGTATAAATAATATTTATTTGTACATAAATATATATACAAATAATGAACAATAATGGCTAACACAACAAGCAATGATGTACAAAGCACTATCTATACATTACCATCTTCATCATCCAAACAGCCTTATGATAGACATGTTGTTTTTTAGTATTGTTTTTGTCTTCATTGTAATCAGCATCTCTTTGTGAAAGGAGGTTGCTTAAAATCTTACATTGGGCCTGGCAAAACCCTGGTTCATGCTCAGGTCACAAGTCTGTCTGACATCTACAATTCAGTTCTTCACTGCTATTCTGTGGCCCTTATCAGTCTAGTTTCCCTTCCTGAGGCTAACCTGTGCTTCCTTCTCTAGGCTGTCTTTGTAACTCTGTCAGAAGAAACTAACAGAAACACAGAGATCACAAAATTGGCAAGAACCAGGGGCGCCTGAGTGGCTCCGTCAGTTGAGCGTCTGACTCTGGTTCTCAGGTCTTCATCTCAGGGTCGTGAGTTCAAGCCCCACATTGGGCTCTGTGATGGGTGTGGAGCCTACTAAAAAAAAAATAAGTGGGGAGGACTAGAATTGTGTTTGAACCACTGGAGTGCTGTAAGAAATTGGCCCACGTGCTGGCTCATGTGCCATGAAGCCTAGCTGAGCCGCTGCAGGAGAGTTTCCTGGGTTTTCTTACTCCACTGTGGCCTTGGCATAAGAGAAGTCTTCCCTTAAGGCAACCTGAGTGATTCTCCAATACTCATAACCCAGAGACTCTGAGCTACGTGGAGATGGAAACAGGTTGGATCTAACCTTTGTATATGTGAGTAGAAAAAGTCAGAGAATGGAGGAGTTAGAGACAGGCAGATGTTGGGGGTGCCTGAGTGGCTCAGTTGGTTAAGCATCTTACTTCAGCTCAGGTCATGATCTCAAGGTTTGTGAGTTCAAACCCGTCATCTGGCTCTTTGCTGTCAGTGCAGAGCCCGCTTCAGATCCTCTGTCTCTCTCTCTCTCTCCCCCTCCTACTTGCTCTCTCTCTCAAAAATAAATAAACATTTTTTTTTAAAAAGGCAGATGTGGGGGGCACATATGAGAAAGTAGAGAGAACAGGAGGATTGAAGGCAGGAGAGCAGAGAATGGGACTGGAAAGAAAAACTGGCCTGCAGTGGTGACGTGAGACTGGGCAGTCTTGGTGTGGCCATAAGCATGAACCCTTCCTCCCATCCCTGCTTCTACACTCTTATCAGACTCCCCTGGGGAGTCTCTTCAGGAGAGTGAGACCATTGTGAAAGTGCAGGGAGCTCAGCACACATTCCCATAAATGAGAACCTGGAGTGTCTGCAGCATCTTGGGCTGCAGAAAACAGAACAGCAGGGGCATGGAGAGCAGAGTTCAGGCTCCTGCTGAGGACATGCCTCAGGGCCTGCCCAGGATACCTCCTTGACTTTTGTACCCTAAACTTCTTAATTTTTTTATTTATGAATTCAGATTGTAGTTTCATACTTGTCAAAATCCTTTCTGACCCCAAAGTATATGCATTTTTGCTTCTATTCTAATGTATTACTTTTATGGATTTTTGAAAAATGTTAAGTCTTTTACCCATCTGGAATTTATTTTGAAGTATAGTGAGAGGTGGGTTTTGTTTTTACATGATTTTTCCATAATCCCGGTACCAATGATTTGGGGTCCCTCATCACTAATTTAAAAGTTAGCTTAAGGGGCGCCTGGGTGGCGCAGTCGGTTAAGCGTCCGACTTCAGCCAGGTCACGATCTCGCGGTCTGTGGGTTCGAGCCCCGCGTCAGGCTCTGGGCTGATGGCTCAGAGCCTGGAGCCTGTTTCCGATTCTGTGTCTCCCTCTCTCTCTGCCCCTCCCCCGTTCATGCTCTGTCTCTCTCTGTCCCACAAATAAATAAACGTTGAAAAAAAATTAAAAAAAAAAAGTTAGCTTATATATTAAACAATTCTATTTCTGAACTATCTGTTGTGTTTTGATGATGGTTTTATCTATTCACTTGCCAGTGATATGCTTTTACTTATTCTAATTTTATAAAATATTTTAATATCTAATAAAGCAACTCACATTCATTCTTCTACTTGTTCAAAAGTTAGTACTGAGACAGAACAGAAAGTAGATTAGTGGTTGCTTGGGGCACAGGGTAGGAATGGGAATTTGCAGTAAATGGGCAAGACAGATAGACAGACAGAGACAGAAACAGAGAACAGAGAACAGACGGATTGAAACATGCTCATGCAATGCTTCTTAAGTTTTTGCCTGGCAACCTCACACAGCAGAACCACCTGGACGCCCTGTGGATTGCAGATTCCCTGGGTTTTCCTCAAACCTCATTAATCAGAACCTCTGTGAATGGGCCCATATATCTGCACTATAAACAAGTTCACAAGGTGAGTCTTAGCCCACTAAAGTTTGAGAAGCACTGCCTTTGTATACATAAAAATGTAATTTATGACATAGAAAACATCCCAAAATAGTGGGGGAAGTTTTAGGCCTTTTCAGTAAATGTTTTTGGGAAAAAAGTGAGATGAATTGCTTTCACTGTTTGGCTATAGTGAATAATGCTTCTTTGAACATGGGTGTGCACATATCTGATTCAGTCCCGCTTTTCTTCTCCGCTTTTAAACGTGCTTGGGAGGGTTAGGGTAACTTATAGGTGTATAGGCAGGGAAGGGCCTGAGAGAGGTTGTCTCTCCCGGGCCTTTTCTATTATGCAGGTCTTGAGTCCCTGGTCACAATTTAAAAAAATAAAATAAAAGAGTAAGATGGGTCAAAGTCTCCCCAGGGAGACAAATACATATTTCAGAGAGATGATTAGGTTGTATTTTAAAAGTGAATCATTTTTAAAATGCAAGACTTTTAACAGATCTTACAATAAGGCATCAAAGGATTATGATTGTGTAATAGTTATATAGCTTCAATCACAAAAGGAAAAATTAAAATTGTATCTTACAAATTGGTAACAGTTACAATACCTCATAAACTCAATGCTGGTGAGTGCGATAAGGTGGGCAATCACTCATTTGTGATCACAATGAAAAAGTTGGCAAATATAATAAAAAGCTTTGAAAAGCTGATAATATCCCTCCACTTGTAATAGCTAAGATTCTAAGCAGCAATAGTTTATATAGAAATATGGACAGTAAGCTTTACTTAATAAAGACAAAAATTTGAAATTTGAAAACATAAATATCCAAAAATTTGAGGAAAGGTTAAATTGAGTCTGATATGTTCATAAATATGGTAAAAACAATAATAACCACTGTAGTAAAAGCTAATATTTGAGATAGTATTCTGTAGTCAGAGAATTATATATTATAGAATAGATTGTTTTCCAGAATTTACAAATGAATTAACCAATGAAAATTTTAAAATATGAAATATATTTAATATTATAGTAGTAGGATTATCTGGTCACAAGTGATAGAAGTACCAAACAAATTAACTTAAACACAAGAGGAACTATATTGACTCACAGAAAACAAGTCCAAGAGGCACAGCAGGATGAAGAAATTAAATCTTTCACTGCACTCTTATTTTCTCTCTCTTCCACCACTGTTTTCTATGCTAACTTCATTCTCATGCAGGGTCTCTCAATGTAATGGCAGAGAAAATCATTGTTACCTTTATAGCCTATATTTAAGGTCACAGAAGGAAGTGTCATCCTCTCCCACTTTCATCCAATATAGAAAATAACTTTACCGATTGGCCTTGTTTCTGTCACGTGCGTAAATCCAGGATTGTGAGGTCTTCTGATTGGTCAACCTGTAACACATGTCCTCCTCGGGTCAGTAAAGGCAAAACCACACCATTAAAATTCCAGCAGAATTCCAGTTGCTGACCGAAGGAAGGGTTGTTATCTACAAAACAAGAAAGGGATGGAGACCAGTGGCAAATGTCCATTACAAATGGCTGGGGAAAAAATTGAACTATATCTACAACATGATCCCAATTAATGGAAATATAGATTACATGGTGGGGGCGGAGGAACCAAAACAAAACCTCAATAAACTGTTATTTCTGAATGGTTGATTTTTTATTGTTGTCTTTAAAGCTATCTATTTTTCAAATTTAAAATAAGTTAGTTCTAAGAAATGTCACTTACGAAATGGATTTTTAAGATCTGGCTTTGGACGTGTTCTTAAATATGAAGTGCCAATTTCTCAGACTGACACATTTGGTATCAGTTAACTTCCACTTTTGCTCAGTAGCAGGAAGAGTCAGTTCCTTAGTTTGAGTGGTTAAGCAAAGATAAAAACTCAGTCTTTAGAGTTAGACTTACCTTTATGAGTAAATCCCAGAATATCTCTTCGTTGAATTCCAAAAGAAAAATCTAGGTTTTAGCTAACCTCAAATTTAGACTCTGCTTAAACATTTTGAGGCAATATTTATCCTTCTGACCTTTACACCCCTAGCAAAACTGAGAATGGTGTCAGGTTGAGAAAATCTAGAGGAAAATGTGATTTTTGTAGGTCCTAAGAGGATCAGTGACTTCCCTGAAATGCACATCTTTTGTTCAAGACATTTACTAGGGCCCAGGCCCTAGTAAAGACCTGAATATTTGAGCTCACAGAGACAGAATACAGAAAGGAACTGACTTTTCCTGATGCAAAAGTGGAAGTTAACTGATATCAAATGTGACAGTTTGAGATACTGGCACTTCATATTTAAGAACATGTGTCCAAAACCAGATCTTAATAGACGTACGCAAAATAAGAGTTACTCAATAATTGAAAATCAATCTTCAGAGCACAAATATAGTGTAATTTTGACATCTTATATTGCAAAAATGGAGTCAAGCCAGCTCCGGGATGACAAAAATCTCTTCATATTTGTTTGCAGTTTCCTGCAAGTTTATATTTATGTATGCCTTAATTAGCTTTTTTATTGTATGATTCTATATAAAAAATTTTTTTTGAGATTTGTTACATTGATATCTGCTATTTTTTTTTTTCTGTAATGTCAGTGTGAGTTTAGCAGGTACAGACTAAGATATCACCACTGATATGGCTTGATCTCATAATTTGGTCCTTCTCAGTGATCAGAAATAACAGGAAAATAGAAGCATAGAATATATTAGGATAGACTATTTCATAGATTTTGCCAGGGAAAAGGAAAATAAAGCCCAGTGAGACAGTGGGTTCTATATCAAGAAAAAATAGGGGAACCTGTCTGGCTCAGTCAGTGGAGCATGTGACTCTTGACCTTGGGGTTATGGGTTTGAGCCCTGCATTGGGTGTAGAGATTATAAGAAAGAAAGAAAGAAAGAAAGAAAGAAAGAAAGAAAGAAAGAAAGAAAGAAAGAAAGAAAGAAAGAAAAACAGATTTCAGTGTTCACACCCACCCACCCACACACACACACACATTCCTCCATGTATGATGGACTAGAGGTCAAAGTAATATTTTAAAAACAACATTAAGGATATTATAATGATACAAGTATATATAGTAGAATATTTTTCACAATTTCGGAGCTAGTGATGTCTTTCTTAAACCAAACAAGAGCACAGCCACAAAGAAAATTATTGAATTATTGAAAAGCTTGATTACACATGCATAGACTGAATTACATACCTGTATACATGAGTACAAAGAAAATCTGACCCCAAAACAAATAACATGACAATGATCTCTAATAGCAGAAGACACCAAAAAAATAAACTTCAAAAACCAGCAACAGCTTGGGGAAAAAAAAATGCTTTGGGGGTGCCTGGGTGGCTCTGGTTAAGTGTCCAACTTCAGCTCAGGTCATGATCTCACGGTTGGTTACTGGGTTCCAGCCCCACGTTGGGCTCTGTGCTGACAGCTCAGAGCCTGGAGCTTGCTTCAGATTCTGTGTCTCCATCTCTCTCTTTGCTCATCCCCTGCTAGTGCTCTGTCTCTCTCTCTGCCTCTCAAAAATAGATTAAAAATGTTCAAAAAAATTTTAAGTGCTTTGAAAATGTGATCAGTGTGAAAGTGCTTCTCAAACTCAGGTGTAAGAAAAGTATGAATTTCTTTTCTCAATCCATTGTATCTGCACCAAAACCCTAGCTCTTAAGGGTGGCAGCACAATTTACCTCTGTTACAATTTTAGGTGTCTTCTGCCTTTCCTACATAGTTAGGAAAATCAAAGTATCTGCATTTGCCCTAGTAAAACAGAAAGTTACAATTTTGTACATGAGTGTTGATCATCATAGTTTCATAGTTTCATAGTTTCTTTCTGTTATCAATTGTCTTAATATGGAACATAGGGTTGTTTTTCCTCCCCTTTTAAACAACTAACATTTTTGAAACTTAACACAAAAGCCATTGACATCCCTTTGAGCTACCAAAGAATTTGGTAAAGAATTTCTTGTGCTGTAAAGAATTTCTCTCTTTCCCAATATTCTACGGCAGTAAAAGCAAAATGCTCATCTATGCCTTCACAAAGTATTCTTATTTCCTGTGAGATCTTCATCAAACTCCTATATTTCTTAGCTTTTGCATCATTAACTCATTATGAGTGCAACTCTGCCATGATAGATCTACCTTCTCACTAGAAAAGCAAGGAGAGGTGGTTTATCTCCAAAAATTTTAAGGAGCTTGTTTAGACAAAAACACTTTAAACTTGTTTTTTTTTTTTTTTTAAGATTTTATTTTCAAGCAATCTCCACACCCAACGTGGGGCCCAAACCTACAAACCTGAGATTAAGAGTTGCAGGATCCACCGACTGAGCCAGCCAGGCTCCCCTAGACTTGGTTTTATTTATTTATTTATTTTTATTTTAAATTTTTTTTAATGTTTATTTATTTTTGATAGAGACAGAGCACAAGTGTTGGAGGGGCAAAGAGAGATGGAAATGGAAACCGAAGCAGGCTCCAGGCTCTGAGCTGTCAGCACAGAGCCCAACGCAGGACTAGAACTCACCAGCTGTGAGATCATGACCTGAGCTGAAGTCAGATGGTTAACTGACTGAGCGACCCAGGCACCCCTAATTTTTGTGTTTTTTTTTTAACATATAGGTTTTTAAAATTTTTTTAAATTTATTAACTTAGAGAGACAGAGAGAGTGAGAGGGAGAGGAGCAGAGAGAGAGGGAAAGACAGAATCCCAAACCAACTCCACGCTGTCAGCACAGAGTCCAACATGGGACTTGAACTTATGAACCATGAGATCATGACCTGAGCTAAAACCAAGAATCAGACACTTAACTGATTGAGCCACCCAGACACCCCCAGATTTGGTTTTAAAATGAAAGTATACATAAGGATGAATATAATCTTCTAGTCAAGATGGAGTAACACGGACCTGATTTACCCTCCCACCTGAAACAATTTTTAAAACTGATAAAATGCTGGAAAAATTAGTTTGTTTGTTTTTTTTTAAATTTTTTTTCAACGTTTTTATTTATTTTTGGGACAGAGAGAGACAGAGCATGAACGGGGGAGGGGCAGAGAGAGAGGGAGACACAGAATCGGAAACAGGCTCCAGGCTCCGAGCCATCAGCCCAGAGCCTGACGTGGGGCTCGAACTCCCGGACCGCGAGATCGTGACCTGGCTGAAGCCGGACGCTTAACCGACTGCGCCACCCAGGCGCCCCTGGAAAAATTAGTTTTAAGACACTAACATGAGACAACCAAACACACTGATCTTTGAGATACAGGAAACTAACAAGGTGAGTCCTACAATTTGCCTGGCTTACTGCCTGGAGAGAGATTTCAGGCACAAGTGAAGGGTTGGCAAACAGGAAGAGCCTGAAAACTACAGGAGATGAGGAGGAGGAACTGAGGAAACAAGGAGGCCAAGAAACTTGAGTCCACAGGACACAGTACTAGAAAGGAGAGAACTGCCTTGAACAGAAATGTGGAGATCTGCACAGGGTTCCTCTCAAGTATGCAGCAGAGTACTAGTTTATCATGAGTGTGGGAGAAAACCACCTGAGGCTGGGGAAAGAATTATCTAAAAGGATCAGAGAAGATAGTGCCTAACCCCACTAACCAGGCTGGAAAAAGTCAAGATGCATGGGATATTAGGTAGAGTACTCAGGAGGTCTTGCCTCAGTAATGGGCAATAATTAGCCTTAGGCTGCAACTGCTCTGTACCCGCCTAACAAATCAAAAGGATCGAGTGGTTCCGAATAGCTTATGTGCATCCCAGAAAATAGTTCAAGAAAATTTATAGGAATGCAAAAATATCCTTACCTGGTAAACCAACAAGGTAAAATTCACAACATCTGGCATCCAATCAAAAATAGCTAAGCCTGGGGGCACCTGGGTGACTCAGTAGGTTAGGCGTCCGACTCCTGGTTTCCGCTCAGGTCATGATCTCACAGTTCATGGGATTGAGCCCTGAGTCAGGCTCCATGCTGATGGAATAGAGCCTGCTTGGGATTCTCTCTCTCCCTCTCTCTGCCCCTTCCCCACTCACACACACTATCTCTCAAAATAAATCAATAAAAACTTTTAGAAAATTACTAAAAAAGGAAGCAGATAAACAAAAACCATACTGAGGAGAATAATCATTCAATTGCATTTGGCCATAAGAAGGCATAGAATAAAGACATTAAAACTGTTATTATAAGGGGTGGCTCAGTTAGTTAAGCATCTGAGTCTTGAATTCGGCTCAGGTCATGACCTGATGGTTCACAGGTTTGAGCCCCTGTGTTGGGCTCTGTGCTGACAGCTCAGAGCCTGGAGTCTGCTTTGGATTCTGTGTCTCCCACTTTTTGCCCCTCCCCTCCTCATGCTCTGTCT